GAAATCAGAGGCTCCGCTCCTTTTCCTGGCCATCAGCGCTATGGTGTGTTCAGGGTAGGGCTGTGCCAGTTGGAGGTGTTGCTCAGGCTGCAGTCTGGACGGTCATGTTGGCAGTTGGGTGCCATGCCAACGTGAGGACGCCAGACTTGAGTCGAGGTTGCTGTGTGGAGTGCTCTGAGGGATCAAGCCCTAGGGGCCCCCAGGGTAGTGGGTGTGGTGCCCAGCTCCCCTTCATGGTTTACTGACTGCCCCCAGACTGCTCTGGGTTTGCTTTTCCTGGGAGGAGGTGGTGAGAAATAAACAATGGGGCTAATTAGAGTCATTGCAGGTTTCCAGAAGAAAGCCCCTCCCCACCCGCTGCCACCTGCCCACCCAGACTGTAGCCTAAACATAGCATATGCGCAGGCTGTCACAGGGGACTGGGGGGCGGTGCCTCTTGGGCTATGTTGTCGAGTAGTTCTCACTCTTAGCTGTGCCAATGTGCTTCAAGGAGGAAGCAGACAGTGGACTGTGTCCAGGTCTGGGCTCTAGCTTATTTTTAATTATTATTCTATGTGTTCAGCCAGGTGAGCACCTTGTAATCTGTGCATTTCTGACATCCCATGAGGCCTGCTTAAGGCTACTAAGGAGCATATACTTAGGATGAGAGCTCTGAATGACTTGTCTGAGGTCACCGGAGGGAGTCCCCCTTCTGCTGGACAGAAGGCGTGTGACCATTCTGCTGGGTGCTCCTGTCCCTTTCCCTGACAAGAAGCTGCACCTTAAGTGAAGTTCTACATGGTCCCACAGGTGGCTGCTGCTGCTGGTGGTCACAGGGTTCTGGTGGATTGTAGAGAGGATCTGGTATCTGGACTATGACCCTGTCAGGACCTTAGACATGTGACTTAGTCCCTCTGGTAAAGGAGACTTCCCAAGACTGTCAAAGAATGATGCAAGGTCAAAGCCACTCAAAGCCAGTGGCTAGCATGGTGCCCAAGCCTTGCAGGGGGCTCTGTGAATTGCTACATAAAAGGGACACGGCCAGTGCTGGCTGCTAGCAAGGCTGTGCTCATCCCTGAGGAGTCCCTGCCCTTTGATTGAGGCAGAGGGAGATCTGGCCAATACCATCAGTGTGGGATCAGTGTGGGGAACCCAGGCCCCCAGTTGGATGGAGGGGACCGCCCTTCCAAGAGAGGTGAGGGAGGATGCAGGAAGGATGGGGATGTGTGTGGCCTTAGCTAGTGTTTCACATGGATGGAGGCAAAGGGAATGATGCATTAGTAAGGGCTGGGAGCCCAAAAGCAGGGTCATGAGGGGTTCAGACTTCCAGGCCTTGCAATGTGTTTCCAGGTTGACTGAGATGCCGCTGGCAATAAGAGCAGGCCTGGCTTGTGGGGGTCACGTGCAATCTTTTTCCTGGGCTATAGTTTGCCCAGAGGCCACAAAGCCTTGCTTCTAGTTACCCTAAGGCAGATACAATGCAGTTCTGTCCTGTCAACTGCTGTAGCAGTCCTGGGGTAGGGCAGGCAGTCTATAGATTTTATCTTGCTGTGGACTGGGTATCAGCAGAGGACACCCTGACTTTGACCTTGGCCTATGGTCCAATTTGGAGCTGCAGCTGAGGCCTCCCGGTGAACTTGGTCTTTGAGAAAGGGAGTAGCAACAGCCCCCACAGAGCTGCTGTATGCCAAGGCCAGGGGAGCCAAGAAAGGGCAGAGTGCCAAACTTGCAGGGTGACATGGGAGACACAGAGGGATAGGAGCTCCTGGCCTGCAGAATGGTGGCACTGTTCCCACAGGGTGGGTGGGAGCCAGCCTGCAGGCTGCTGCTGCTTCTGCACACTGGGTTTTATTTTTCAGCTCACAAGGCATTTGTTTTAATAGCTTAGTTTGAAGCAACAGTCAAGTACTCACTCTGGCTAATCTGTTGTGTTTATGGTACAGTTTCTTCCAGACAAGTTAAACCCCAGTTAGTGGAGACAGCTCAGCCCCTAGGTAGCTTCCTGTGGGTGTGAAGCAGGGCTGCTAGTCCAGTGAAGAAACACTGTCTCCTGGGCTCAGAACCACCCTGTCCCTCTGCTTCCCGGAGAACAAAACAGGACCTCATGGGCTCCCTGGTGCCAAAGGTAACCATCATTCAAGAGTATTGTGTGACAAAACTTTTCTTGGGGAGACATAACATAAGTCTACTCACCCAGATAGGGAGCCCACGATGGACCAAAGTAGGGGTACCACCAAGTCCAGCTTGGTAAAACAATTAATTTTACTGGGGCTACTTACAGGAATACTGGTAAGGTGTTACTTAACAGAAGTAGAAATGACTCAAAGACAGCTACATCACCAAGGGCCACCCCAGCATAGATGAGAGCTTACAAAAGCTGAGAAACTGGAGCACACTGCACAGATTGCAGGCAGTGTAATAGGTTGGAGAGTGTCCTTTCCTAGTGACTCTGGTCTAAAAGCCTTGTAGGCTGCTCGGCTGGTGTCTGCTTCTCCCAGGCAGCTGTTTTTTGAAGCTTGGCATCTCTGAGAGAAGTCTTTTATTGCTTACTCTGGCAGTGTGGGACCTAGAAAAACCTGGTCAATTTCAGGGACTTCCTGGAGCTATTTTGAGTTGTTTACCTCTCAGCTTAAAGAGCTTTCCTTCAGTTTGTAATGCTTCAATCTTGGCAGAAACTGTTACATAAAAAAAGGTTCACGCCTCTAGAGCTTGGATAGCCTTAGTATTTCAGGCCTGCCCCGACCCCTCCATCTTACAGGCAGTAAGGTGGGAGAAAGGATAGCAAAGTCTACAAAGGACCTTCTGGGGAGGCTCTCTGGAGCAGAGAATTCTAAACCAGAGCTCTCTAAGCCTCCCCGGGTGATGTGGTCATTGCCTGTTATGATCCAGCTTTCTTGTGTCCTGGCTTGGGCTAGCATGCCTCAGTCTGGTATAATCCTAGCTGGCTCTCTAGTCAGAGGTACATGCCATTTCTTGGAGCATGTTTGGAAAAGTTTAGAAGGCCTGCATGTTTTCCAGACATCTAAAAATACTTGATGCCACCCTGCAGTACACTGATAGGGACCACTGATCTCTCTTGCAAATGTCATGGATGGGGTCTGCTCCAGGTCTGCCCATGACAGCAGATGAGCCTATGCAGGACTGACTCTAGACCAGGGCAGTCAAGGCAGAACCATGCAGTTACTACTGCCAAGAGGAACACACCCATGACTGTGCTAGTAGACCTGGGACCTCAGGTGGCAGGGCTCACCCTCCACATCCCCCTGCCTCAGCCCCACAGCAATATCAGACCCCTGTCATGGGTGTGCTGCCCTGCAGACCTGTCCCAGGGACATCCAGTTAGAAGGCTCTTTCTCCCTCAGCCTTGGGGAAAGTGGTAGATGGAAAAGCTTGCACCAGGTCTATCCAGGGCCCTGGGACTCAACTCTGGGTCCTATCTGTTCTGTACCACAACGTCCTGGCTATGAGGGAACACCTAGGAGCTGGTGGGGGTAGCCTCCCCTCACAATCAGGCATTCTGCCCTTGGATTGCTGTCTTCAGGGGCTTGTGTCCCTGTCCCTAGATCATGCCCTTTAGTAATAGTCTCAGGGATGAAGTATAGCTCAGTGGTAGGGGCTTACCCAACATATACAATCCCTGTCAACTATCTCCAGCACCGTTAAGGGAAAGAAAAATCAAGTCTTGGATATTTTTCATGCTGCTATAGTCTTCTGTTCACTGAGGACACATGGGAAGAAAAGCTTCAAGCCTGGTAGGGTTCCTAATCTTGTCCACACCTTCCCTTCCCAGCCAACAGGAAGGAGGACAGCAAAGGGCCTATGAGGTGCTCACAGTCCTCAGGGTGGGGGTGGGGTGTGGCCCCTGGTGTTCAGGGTTATCCTGCTTAGCACCGAGATTCAAGTCCTTTGTCTTTTGAACTGTGCTGAGCACAGGGTTTACCAATCACAGAACCCCTATCCTCCCCGCCACCCATATTGACTTCCAGAAGTCTCAGTTGAATGTCAGCCCCTAGAATGTCAGGGGAAGCTGGATGCCTGCTAGAGCCACAAGTAGAGGTTGACACCTCAGGCTATCACTCAGTGACACGGGGTTATTATGCTGTCATGGGCCATCTGGAATTCTCTCCCACCCCATGAGAAGCAGCCCCATCTGGAAGTCCCACAGCCATTGTCTACCCAGGGCTAATATTCATTGTCTCTACCCACCTTCAATGACTGTACCAAGGGCCAGAGGACCCATACTAGACAGTACCCAGAGCAAGGCAGTAGCCAGTCCATGATGGGTGCTGGGTGGTGGACCTATAGGCTACCATGTGACTAAATTCTTAGACCCGGGCCCCCCTCGTGGTGTGGCTTGCCATCCATACCCTCCTACCTTGGCTGCAATGCCAACCCCAGCCATGGGTGTGTTGCCCACCTACCGAAGGGTAACCCTGCAGAACTATCCCATGGACAGCCAGCAAGAAGATCTCTACTCCCTCAAGGCCTCAGGGAGAATGGCTCATCAGAAGGCCAGCAGCAGGGCCAGGTAGTGTTTGTGTGGGCTTGGACAAGACTCAGAACTGCTACTCGTCTTGTGGTCACCTTCCCGCCAGGGGCATCTTCCTTGTGGGAGGTGGGAATATGTGGAGGTCGAGTGTGTGGGTCTCTGGCAAAAACCTGCTTGTGTCTTTGGGGTTGGCCTGTCTACTCTGAACTTCAATTTTCTTATTCATAAATTGAACTCATTGTAGTACCTATGTTAAAAGGTTGTGGTTAGTGTCTGATGGAGAATGTCAGGACATCCACACAGTAGGGGCATTTTCTGGTCCCTCCTGTCTTTCCCAGGTTGTGAGGTAGAAACAGGGAGACAGGGTGCTGGGGATGACAGGACTCCATCCAAGATTATGCTCTGACTGGCTGTGCTGTTGTTCTCTCCAAGGGAAGAAGCGTTCCATCTGCATGCAGCCAAGGACAGCCCTCTGACCACACTGAGGAGGTCTATGCTTTCCCAGAAGCTGGGTACTCTTCCGCCAGCTCCCTATGTAGCCTGGTCTGATTTTACCAAGAAGCCAGGCCCCCACATGAAGGCCTCCAGCCTGTCAATGTGGTCTTCATGCTTGGACCCCAGGGATATGAAAAGCTCCGTGTCATCTGGCCGATTCACGGGTTCCTCAGGGGGGCATGAATCATGTGCACTTTTCCATGGGCCTTGGAAAGAAAGGCCACCCCTGGTGTTGGCACCTCAGCGTCAGCCCAGGAAGAGTAACCCTCGTCTGGAGCAGTTGAAGGACAAGATCCGAGCCCAGGCACAGTGGCAGGCTAGCTGTGCCTCCCTGGGCACTTCTGTCCCCTCTAGTGCCTCATGCCTTTATAAGACCTCTTCGACAATGCTACGACAGAAGACCCTCAAGGTGGCAAGTTCTCCTCCGGTGACTACTTGCCCAGGTCAGTGCTTGCTTTGCCCAGCTGGTGTGGACCACCGGCTGTGGGAAAATGGAGAGCTGGTAGGAAGGTGATGTTTCAGGCCAGGCTGTGGTGGTGACTGAGGCACATGGGACAGACAACTGGGAGGTACATATCATATGTTCCTAAGGCCCCCAAAGAGGTTTGAGGTCTGGGATGCCAGTGCAGCCTGGGGTGGGGCTTCAGAACTGAGGTGAGTATGAAGAAAATTCTTCGTGGTGTATAAGTGAGATGAGAGGGATGAGGCCTTGGAAAGCAGACCCAGAGGACCTGTGGGAGGTGTAGAGAGGACCTGCTGTCCTAGACACTGGGTCTTTGTCTCTGAAGCCATAGGGGACTATTTAAACAGGCCTGGCACTATCAGGTATAACCAGCAAAGCCAGTGTGGGGCTTAGATGGCCCACTTTCCTGTCAGGGATGCTGGAGGCTAGGCAGCTGCTCAGGGGTGTCTCTAAGTGGGGAGGGATCTCTTTTCTAAGGCAGTAGCTTGTTTTTAAAATTCATGGTAAAGTATATAACATAAAATTAGTCATCTTACCATTTAAAAAATTCATTTCATTCCTGCGTGTGTGTGTGTGTGTGTGTGTGTGTGTGTGTGTGTGTGTG